TTTTTGAATTTTATGAATTCGTTTTTGTTTTCTAATCGAAGATCGTATTTCATTTTTTATCCATAAAGAGTCCTTAAGTCTTACAGTGATAGTAAAATTTGGTACCTGTCTATTAAAATATCATTCGTATACTCATCAGATCTTCAGTGATTTTATGAACGTTTCCCAGAGAAAAGAGAACATCTAAGTTAATCTTATTTATACTATCACTTCTGCCATCAATATCTGCTAATCATACATTTTCCTTTTAACCATATGAATATTACGTATAATCCCTGTTGTCTATGACGATATGACAGTGATCGCTACAAACAGGATTAAGAGCTCCAGAAACTCTTATATCTGTAAAACTTAGTACAAACAATAAAATCTATCAACGTTTCAGAGTTAGCGGTGCTTCTGTAATATTTGTTTGAGTCCGTAGATAGATTGCAACTGTTCTATCATCTGATTGTTTTTAATGGTGTATATCAATATTAAATCTATCAGTAACAATAATGAATTCATCTGAATTGTATATTGACTGATCTTTTAAATTCCAGTAGTGCGTGTTTTTATCAGCCTGTTAAAATGTTCCAGATAAGTATTTTCGAGATTTGCATTTAACCTATATCCATATCGCCACAAGCTCAGCAATATCCAAATCAGTCATTAGTTTTTCACGAGGTTATTTTTGCATAGACCACCACGTGCCTGCCTATATTTTTTAAAGTTTAAAACCAACTCGTAAATGTTACTATGTCATCGGAAGATTGACTGGAAACCACACGGTTTCAGAGTTGATAACGACCAGGCCAAACATACGTTTAGTACTAAATGTATCAGGAAGGTTTACTATACCACCCACGACACAACCCTGTTCCTTTCTATGTGGTTCATCGTAGTGATCCAAATATAGTTACTGCAAAAATAATATCACATGTTGGCTATAATTCCGTTTGGTTGACACATGTCATCGTATTGCGTAAGTGATTGAGTGAGTGAGTTAAAATTTAACGTCACCTCGGCAATATTTCAGCCATATAGTGACGAGATATGTTTTACATGAACAATAAATTTAAGTTGCTAAATAATCAGCAGTCATCGAAGGACTGTAAAAAAACCTAGAGTATCACAGATGGAATCTAAAACTAGCATGTACATGTAAAACTATTTCATTTACGAAGACAATACAATATAAAAAACGGCAACAACTGAAGGTAGATTACCAATCTGCGTAAGTCGATGATCATGATGTTGGTCACTAGATTGTCTGGTTCAGACTGGATTATTTACAGATCGCGCCGTGTAGCTGTAATATTCTGAGTGCGGCAATATTTCAGCTTTATGGAAAAAAAAAATTCTTTAATATCTTTCAGCTAGTGACAGTTTGAGAACCTCACTTATGACATTATTTCAACAAAGTTCTTTTTGAACGAGAAACACAAGTGCAGAAAGTCCAAAGTAAATATGTACTACCACTCTTTCAGCTTTGCCGAGGCTTGATTCTGGCTGTGAACTGGACGTGGATTGCAAGACGCTTCTCAACTCTCGTTGTCACCAAGGGTCCTGTAGGTGTGATGTTGGGTATCGCCTTCATGGCAGTAGTATAAAAGTAATCCGTTCAGCACAGACAATAGCATTCCTAAGAGAACAAAGACATTCCAGACGAATACAATAGCATTCCTGACGAATACAATAGACATTCCAGAGGTGCAATCCTCAAAAATCCTCCATCTGTTGAGGATTCAACCTTATATAACAGACATTCCAGAGGATTCATCCAGAAAGTATTCAAACTATTTAACCTTCAAGAATTTCAGTCATACAATAGCATTCCACAAGTTTCTCCAACGAATACAATAGCATTCCACAAGAATGACTCTTAACGCTCTTGAAACTAGACAAACTATTTAACCACAACATTCCACAAAGCGCTCATTAACGCAAAGTATGTCAACTATTTAACGATAGCATTACACAGATACATCCTGAATCAACTGAAACCGTTCAAACGATATGCGGTGAACAACCAAGTTATACATTAACCTTTGAACAGCGCGATCCGGTAGTATCGTAAGCGTTCTATATACACGTGTGTTTCACAGCTCTCACTAGTAACAAAAAACACGCCAACAAGTTTGTTAGCTTATAAGTAAATCTGTTTGTAATCTTCTGTCAATATTCAGATAGAAGCTAAAGGTTAACATTATGAAACATGTTCCTACACGCTCTCAAAAGTGAACGGCAAAAACGCAGACAGAGACGAGGTTACACATTTGGTTTGCTGTCACATTGACTTCGCAGTTGCTTTTGAGCGAATATTTCCGGTTTTATGCTCTATGTCATGACATTGTAATGTATCAATAACATAGCACCATAGCAAGTGTCATCACCTTTAAGTGTGCTCACAAACTCTGTCCACGCACGTAAGACATGTTACTCAAAGGAACACAATAAATGAATGAACTTACCTAAAGTCGAACATAACAAGGTTTGCATATGCAGCGTGCTATTGTCTTCAGTGAGGCGATGTTCATTTTTTTTTTTCAGAATTGCAAGTGTTAGCACTTCCACTTGCACCACACAATTAGTTTTCTGACTCTGTCGCACTCCACTTGATTGAATCACTTTCTTGCACCTTTTCTCTTTGTTTCCCTTCTTCGATTTCTTTATCGCTCTTCTTCTTTGTCTTATTGCTTTTTGTCTTATTGCCTTTTGTTGTGTCCTGAAATTGTCACAGTAGTCCTTTATGATGGTTTGGTTTTCTAAAATATTTATTTGTTTGTCCGTTAAAATTGGAACAACAGTTGGGGAAAATGACTGATTTACTTTCATTAAGCACAGGGCTTTCAGGAAATTCTCCATAGCACAACCAGTAAACTCTATCCAAATGTACAGAATATTAACACACACTCGCATCACCTTCGATACGGTATTTACCAAAAACCAGCGTTCTATTGAAAATATCTCAATCTAATTTGTGGTTCATGGGTGGAGAGGGCACGTCTTCGCAAAAAAAGAATGTTACCTATGTTAACAAAGTGTGACCTCTGTCCATCACGAAGGCTTTGATATCTGTCATGTCAGCAACATTTGATATTGCTTATGTGAATGTACATAACGTTTTGAAAACGTAGTCATTTTCCTTTTGTCTTGCGAGAATACGCCCCTCCATGACTTGTGGTTTCTGTTGAAATCTATCTCACGATTCTCGTTTTTCAAAGATGAGACGGTACGATATATATATAAGATGTTATAACATCAGATTGATCAAACGGTATGGCTTATCTGGGTATTTCACCTTCTGTTTCGGGACATGATTTCACCGTTGTTAAAGCAAGTCATAGTATATCTTTTTGTTCTACGCATCTTTCGTTTGAAAATTTGAGAGATACGTTTGGATTTATTTTCTCAAAACTTGTGTCACATCAAAATTATAATTATCCTTTTTCGTTGTACGAGACAATTCAATTCTGCCCTTTACAAAATTGTTCTGTGACTCTAAATGTAAATTTATTAAACTGGGAAATCGAAATTTCAGATGAAAATTTTACTAGAATTTATTTGACACCGAATGAATTTAAAGGTATCTACTTAGGTTTGCTACAATTTCAATTCGACCAAAGCGTTCAATACATTTTGAATGCTTAGAGGTAAGTACACTTTAGCAAATGTTCCTCTTGTCACGTAAATATGTTATCTGCGAAAGTAAGTTATCTATGTCCGATGTTGGTGAACTATATGTCATAGATATATTGAACTCACTGTATCGCTAGTTATTTGCGTTTATCGCATGAACTAGGTTGCTGAAGTGTACATTACATAGATATATTGAACTCACTGTATCGCTAGTTATTTGTGTCTGAAATTAAGCTTAAGTTACTGTTGTATGAACTAGATACTCTTATTTAATCATCATGAAAAACAACTTTTGTGTAACATTCATATTTTAGTTTGATTGTGTGTCATACACCTACAGCTTGCTACCCGATGCTGAATCCAGCAGTCACAGGGTTAGGTTGGCTAGCGGGTCTTTTAAGGTTGTTTCTGGCACCAGTTGACGGGCGTGCCCTTTATCTTCAGCTAGGTATCTGATTCGGAACCCAGCTGTCGCAGGGTTCGGTCGGCTAGCGTACCCTTTTAAGGATGTCTCACACCAATTGACCAGTGGGCCTCATTTAAACAGTAGGCGGTCTGCCTCACACCAGTCGTGTGACCCTTTAAGTATTATTTAGTCTATCTCACTACCGTCGCGCGAGCCCTTTAACCAGTCTCCACATCCACCACACCCTCCCCAAACCATAGTATTTTTCCCAACTACCAAGTCTTTACTAGAATGCTAAAGCCTTTCAATTGAAGCAAGTCTACATTTCCCGCCGCCTCCCTGACGCTACAAGAGTGACAGCAGTGATACTGTCTACTGCCCCCGGTTGGTGCCTGTCTCAGCAAAAAAAGTCACTCAGATGTCATGAGCACCTGACATTTCCGATCTTAGGTCACGTTAGGTACGTGCTTCGCACGATAATGTGAACGTGTCTTAATTGTTATTGGTTGAAATCATTTGTGCGAATGTGTATGAATTACTATTGGGTGAAATGATGTTTACGAAACGTGCATTAATTGTCATTGGTCAACACTCATTTAGGAATAATATATAAAAAAGCGTAGTGAATTCGTAATCACCACAGTTTACCAACCATGATCGCCTTAGCGCTACTCCTCAGTCTTCTCACCACGGGGTCAAGCAGTATTTCGCTATTTAGCAAAATGTGCGAACCAGTCGCACATTTGCTGAGGTGCAGACCTGTGGGTGGTCGTGTATTAGAACATACGAGAGGAGCGACATATGCTTACATCACTACAATTCATCTTCATGGCATCACAGACCGTCTCAAAATTGACGTAAAAAAAATTCCCGCAACTAGAAGTAAGTGTTATTTTATATCTTCATTGTCATGTGTTGTCGTAATTATTCTAAAGTTTATACGTATAGTATTTTGTTTTGCAAGCTGCTTTAAACATTGGAGTTTTATACACCTTGGTCATAACATGAGAATTGAACGTTATCAATAATAACCAATAGTAATTAATTGATATCTCTTTACAGAAAATTATTGGAGGAGAACCGTCATGTGATGGTTTGATAGGCGATGTAAAGACCGTCATTGTTGTCAATGAAAAACAATGCATCGGTGAGTATTTATTTATATATTCATTTACACGGTATAACACGGTTTTATTTCTAACTAGACTTTTATTTTCTCAAAGTTTGAGAGTTTTAGTTTCTGTCACTTTGTGTCTGTCTTCCTGGGCTGCTTTACGCTACTGGTCTGTAAATAATTGTGTCCATTGTCACAATTCATGATGATCAACAGCATGAGCACCAGGCTGTGCATTTAGGAATCGATCACATACATCAACCAAGACAGTGAGCATAAAGTTCAACTTATATTTCTTAACAATGTTTAGTTATGCTTGAAACTAATTTGTTCGATTATTGACTGTAATCTTGTTACCATTTCCAGTCCAGACGACTTCACCAGTCTCAACTACCATGCTCTCTCCATCACCTGCTACCTTCCTTGCAACATCCTCTACCCCTCCTTTAACATCTACTGCTATACCTATTCCAACACATACTACCTTTCCTGCAACACCCACTACTCTGCCTGCTACCCTTCCACCAACGGACACTACCTTTTTTCCTGTAACGTCTACTAGTTTTCCTATAGTATCCTCTCCATCACTCACTACCTTTCCTTCAGCACCCATAACACCCCCACCGACACACTCTACTCTTTTTTCAAAACCTACTACCATCTCTCCAGCATTCACCTTCTCCACATCGGCTCAAACATCCACCCACAGCATTTCTACAGGTATTATTTTAGGCGTTATATTTGCGAGTGTTAGTTTAATCGTTATTTTAACCATTCTTGTTTGTGTTTATAAGAAATGGTGTAAATTCCAAATTAGTGATCGGAATATAAAAAATGGAATTCTTTTTAAACGGTTGGAAAGGAAACATAAAGAATCAACAAATATTGAAATGAAAATGTACGAGGAGGAAGAAATATGATTTTTTTTATTTTTTTTTCGTACACCTATTCCTTTCACCCACCCTGCACAGGTCCCTTCGAGAGACGCAGACGAGTCGAGGATGATGATTATGATCTGGAAAATGTTGACGGTTACGACGGTGGCATCAACCTTGGTAAGTACCAGTGAGCATCATAACTCATAAGCACATGCGAGCGCCTTTAACGTGGTGTGAATGTACATACTGAACCAACTTGCTACATATTGAGCTTTTGTATTTTGAGTGAGTTAAATTTTACGTCGCACTGGTCAATATTCCAGCTATATGGTAACCGTCTGTAAGGTAATCCAGTGACCAACAGCATGAACATCGATTATGCAATAACCGATCACATGTGTCAACCATGTGAGCGTACCTGACCACCCGATTCCGTTTAGTCTCGTCTTACAACAAGCTAAGTTACATCAAGCATCTGTTGTCGAAGCCTATTCTACCCTAGACCTTCACATGTCTTTGTATGTGTATCCTCAGATATTCACAGTTGAGTTTATCTGTATTATATTTATTTCAGCCCACATGGTTACTGCACTGCTGGTGCTGGTGGTTCTAGTAATACTCCTCGTGGTAGGTGTAACGATGAGACATCGTATCCTCAGACAAATTAACAGGATCCGTTGTTATCTACGCATCCGACGCCTCAGACATCAACTTCGCAGTTCACAACGTCGAGTCACTCAGGAGGAAGACATCACACCCACTTCATCACATCATGCCTCTCCGTCTCGTCAGCCCTCTCCATCCCGTCTGCAAGAAGATGAACGCCGAGTCACTCAGGAGGAAGACATCACACCCACTTCATCACATCATGCCTCTCCGTCTCGTCAGCCCTCTCCATCCCGTCTGCAAGAAGATGAACGCCGAGTCACTCTGGAGGAAGAAGACATCACACCCACTTCATCACATCATGCCACTCCGTCTCGTCAGATCTCTGACTCTGCCCATCGTGATCTCTCTCTTCACTCTGCTGAGCCATCATCTCACACAGACGTTGTTAACCGTTTACGTGACGTTGTAGAGTCGGTTCGTAGGCTGAGACTACAGAGCAAGATGCAGCGAAAGAGCTCAAGCAATGTATAACCTTGACAGTTTGCGTACATGGTAGATGTGATGCCAGTACAGACAGTGTCTTTGTTAACATGTGTTGTTCATCCTGACAATTTTGTTCATCATTACAGTTCATATAATTTCACATATGACGGTGTGTAACCTGATGTGATAACCTTGACAGTTTGCATACATGGTTAAGATGTGATACCAGTACAGACAGTTGTCAGTAGTTGTTTTTAAAAATAAACAGATTGTGTTAATGTGGTGAGTTTATATGTCTCCATAGGCTCTTACAGGATTTATTGTACAAGGTTCATGTTATGAGTTGATATTGGAGATTACACAACACCATTGAGTCTGGAGCAGACAATCTAGTGATCAACCGCATGAGCATCAATCTGCACAGTTGGATGATGATGACATGTGTCAACCAAGTCATCCGATCTCATTTGTCTCCTCTTACGACAAGCTAAGCACCTATTCTACCTCAACCATAAGCATCCATGTCTACATTCGCGATCTTGTTGGTTCACAGACGAAAGAAAATGTGTATATCAAAAGATTTTTATTCAATAATTACACAAGTGGAGCTGCATACACTCGCGTCATGTACCGCTCGGACAGTATCGTCTGGGTGAACCGTCTGGTTGCCACTCTGTAGGTTTTCCATTATCTCACTCGCGTGCACGGACAGCAGTAGCAGACGCTGCAATACGGAAAATGTAAATATAACATCCACCTAAGGGAAATACACAATGCAAGTTCACCATCTATGTACTTCAGTCTATATACTCACTGGAAATGCGTCGTCTCACTTTCATTAAGATCTTTCCCAATAAATTGTCACCACGCCAGTTTAATTCATTCCTAATCCTAGAATCTGATAGAGAGAGTCCAACTCCCATAATCTATCGTATGGGATGCCTCTACTAACACCTTAGGGTATGTGTTCAACAACAGAGACTTCAGTTCTTCAGACTGGAGTGAATTTGGCATAATTAGCTTTTTCCACCACTTGTGCACTTATCTTATGCCAGATGGTGCGATTAAAGTTCTTCACACGTTTACCTAAATGTTTCTGTTCGATGGAGATGATGAATTCAAAATACACTCAGCAATAAATGAATCTCCAAAAGTCAAAAGCTGATACATGTAATACTGTTCTGCACAATTAAAGGTTTTCCCATCCACTTTCATCTTTACAAGATAGTGTTGACTGAAATGACTCTTTCTCGAATAGAAGTACACACAGCGTTCATCTTCAACAGTTCCCATATTGCTGATTAAAACTCACCGCGTGAATAGGGCGCTGGTCTGTTTACCCCGGCTTGGTCCTGAATATGGTGGTGGTGGTGGTAGCATCATGGCACCCGCTTGGTTCATGGGTGCTGGAGACGTTGACGTCTAGTCTGTGGAATTGGAGCCAGTGGTGGCGACTGTATGCGTCGTCGACGGAACCTGTCTTGGAGGCTGAGACGATGCACTGGTTAGTGGATCAACTGCAAGCGGAAGTACTATGTTCATCTCAGGGATGTCATCAGGCAGGTGGTGCTGCAGTTCAAATTCTTCGACTTTAGTGGTATAGTCTTTTGCCAACCCCATGAGCAGCTTGAACACCTCGGAGGTCATTGATATCGATTTCTTCACCCTCTGCTGTTCCATAATTGGTTAGGTGTGTATAAACAACACCGCTGAAGTAGTTCACTGAGAGGTAATGTCCCTCTGCAAACTGGTATGTAAGCTGTTGTCGGCCATCGTGAACGCTCAAGATTGGTGGAAGTAATGATCTGGTCTTTACGACTCATATTTATATCGACTCTGTTTAATTGCATGATGAGCAGATCGTGAGAAATGTTGCTTTTCCACGCCATCTCAACCATTGAAATCAAGTTTTGTGTCAAAGAATGACAAAACATTTCGCGGTGTCATCCATACTTTGGAAATTCTATTCAAATGTAGACAAAGAAGGTCTTATTTCAGGACTTCTCTTACTGTGCACCATGTTCAGTTCTCACGCTAACCTATCCTTTTGAAATCAAAGCTTGTACCAATCATCTTTGGTACTCACTGTGTTCACAAAGAGAGTTTCTTAATCCAAGTTTCATGATAGGTACAATGCGACTTGATTGACCACACCCATGATAATTTTATATGGTTCTTGTGAACATTGTTGTCATACAAAATAATTGTGCCCCACCTATCATTTGACACGGAATGGCATAGCAATATAAAATACCAACGCCTTCATTCCTGACACACCCATGTACCAAAGACATCCTGGTACCTATTCATGCGACGTAGTCATCTGACCAATTGATCATTTCTTTTCTGTTCAATGCTGTCACGTTGCGATCTAAGGAATGTGCTGACTCAGTCCATCTTTTTCAGTTCAATGTTGTCACGTTGCGATCCATGGAATGTGCTGACTCTCTCCATCTTTTTAGAATTCTATTTAAAATGTAGACAAATAAAATCCGACTCGGGTGGAGTTTCTCACGATGATATGACACTTTACAGAACTCATGATCTCTTACAGACATCGTTAGTACTTAGTGAAAAGAATTTCAATGATATTGCGAAAATATTTCATCTATAAAAGAGTGGGCTTTCCTGTCGATCACTCACAGGACATCAGACAAGCATACACATTTGTGAAGCAGTCTAGACTTGTCACACCAAGGATTCATCCGTTCCTGCAAACAACAGAAAGGTAAGCATTTTTATTAAAAAGGTTTGTCTGTTCTTTTTTAAGTATCAGCTTGTGTTGCATGTGCTATCATCAGTTAATTGCAATGATAATTCTATAACATTCGACATTACCTTGATCGTTTATAGGTAGAGTAAGACAAAACATTGTGCCCAATATAAATGTGCATTATGCTGAGCTATGAGACTTTTATTGGTTTTCCTCTCTCTACAGATCTTCAAGGTGTAACTTAGTCATTGATGAATAGCCAATGGTTGCACACATCGTTGTTAGCCTAACAGTAGCCAGCCATGAGTAATTTGAACACCCCTCGGTGTTTGTTTGTGATCATTGTCAGCAAACCTTGGTCTTAAAACATAATTCTACTACGTCACCAAAGACATTGTGGTAGAGTAGACACTTTATATTCTTGTCCATTGTGTCAGAAGACTTTCAACCTAAAAAAGATAATTTGAATAGGCATGCCAAATCCTGTCGACAAAAGTGACCTATCACTATCAATGTTCACATTGTTTTCAAAATGATCCTGATTATCAAAACCATCACTGCGTACCAAAGAGATCTCCTGCTCATACCTAGTGCAACGTGTCACCAACTCTTTCCCACCTCAAAGGCTTTGCGTATGCACAAAAGTCAATCAGGTCATGATATGATAGGACATGGTAAAGGCAGGGCTAAGAAAAAGTCTAAGCCAGCAACAAGTGTCTGTAGCACCACCTGATTCCCTCCTCTGTTTCCAATGCTCCTCCCGCTTCGTCCTGCCATCCTAGTCAACCTAAAGATCATTCAAAGCCATGTTCTAGTCAGGCTTTTACATGGTGATCGTGAGGGGAGTATGATTTTGAAGGACAAACGTCTACTGGACGCATTAGAATTTCTAGTCCGAGAACAGAGTAATGTCATTTCAACCCTTGAATCAGAAATAGGTGAGAGAAAAGGTAATTAAATGGGCTTTATGTTTTAACATTAAAATGGAGCAGAAACCAAGCGAAGATACTTATTCAAAATTATCACGAGGCTCACTTTAGGAGCAGCATGCAGACAGCCATGGAAGGTAGCGGATTTTGATTGAACAATATTTGGAAGCCATCAATCAAATGCTCCAAACACTAGATGACTACCAAGGAGTTCATCTAGGATTAAATGCTTCTTGACATTGTCCTTTGAAACTGACTGTGGTGAAGTTCGCTCCATTGAACGGTGGTACTTACATTCCACTTCCTCCAGCCTTGGCTAAACATGCACGCTGTATTTTAAATATTCAAAAACAAAGACAATGATTTATGTTTTGCTGCCTTCCATTCTTGCCAAATTGTACCTAATTCTCGTCAAACAAGGAAAGAGAAACACATTACCTCCCCTATTTGAATAGGGCTTAATTTAGAAGGGTTTTTCTTTTCCTAAGGACATTGAAACACATTCCTCGTTTTGAACAGCTTAACCAGTTGAGCATCAATGTGTACGGTTTTGAAAGATGGTGTACTTGTACCCTATGTACATCAGTAATGAGTCGAACGTGGAGGAAAATAGGTGTGTAGATTTATTGTTATTGTCACAAGAAAGTCAACCAGATGATTTTGAGGGAGTCTTGGGGTTAGAGGATCACGAGGAGGCTATGGATGTAGACAAGGTACCCAACAATAATAATATTGTCTCATTAACAACTTGAACAGATTAGTTAGGAAATGAATGCTGTAACACAAACATGTGTTTTGTTTTAGTAGAAAATGCTTGTGGTCTTACTCATCTCAGGAAAGGTTGGAAGCACACAAACAATATTGTTTTAAGAAAAGCACAAAGAGTCATATGTTACCCAAAACCAGAGGAAGCAGTGTATGAATTCGGATTAAGATCGCCAGCTAAAACCGAAAGAGCCAAGTTTTTGATTGTAGCCGATTTTGAAAGCTTGTTAGTGACTGAAGATGATGATTCTTCATGCTTAAAACCGTCGTGTCCCATGTGGCTATGCTTACAAGGTGGTGTGTACCTCGATGAACAGTATTCCAAACCCATTCAAACCCATATAGGTGAAAACGCAGCAGAACATTTCATCAACAAGTATTTTGGAAGAACATGATGCCATCATGAGCCTGTTTGATTCTGTCAAACCCATGCAACTCACTGAGCAAGATAAATTGGTCATTGCTAATACAGAACATTGTGGGTTGTGTGGAGTTGAATTTAGGAACAGACAGAGTATTGGATCATGACCACTTGTCTGGGGAAGTTCCGTCAAGTCTTGGTATAACAAATGTAACCTAAATTTTCAGTTAAGCAAGAAGGTGATTGTGATAAGCCACAATCTAGAACATTGCGATGCTCATCTTTTGTTAGAAGTAGCACAACAGTTTGGTGATCGTGAGATCACAGTGGATACCCTCATAACACTGAGCAATTTCTGTCCTTCACAGTAGACCATAGATTAGCCTTTTTGATTCCTACAAATTTTACAAAGTTCTTTGGATGCACTGACACAAAATCTGTTGAAAAGGCGTGGATTCTTTTGTATATTTGAAAGAGCAATTTCTCAGCATGTAGATTTGTTGAACATCG